ACCTCGTGATCCGCCCGTCTCGGCCTCCCAAAGTGCTGGGATTACAGGCTTGAGCCACCGCGCCCGGCCTTTTTCTGTATTTTTAGTAGAGACACGGTTTTGCCATGTTAGCCAGGCTGGTCTTGAACTCCTGACCTCAGGTAGTCTATCTGCCTCACCACCTCATCCACAGCACTTAGCCAGTACGGACCAGTACGGCGACTTTAAATAGCTATAGGCCAGGCATGGTGACTCACACAGGAAATCCTAGGACTTTGGGAGGCTGAGGTAGAAGTATCACTTGAGCTCACGAATTCAAAGCCAACCTGAGCAACATAGCAAGACCTCATCTCTACTAAAAATAAAAATTAAAAAATTAAGCCGGGCGTGGTGGCTCATGCCTGTAATCCCAAAACTTTGGGAGGCCAAGGTGGGTGGATCACCTGAGGTCAGGAGTTCGAGGTCAGCCTGACCAACAAGGAGAAACCCCGTCTCTACTAAAAATACAAAATTAGCCGGGCGTGGTGGTACATGCCTGTAATCCCAGCTACTCAAGAGGCTGACGCAAGAGAATCGTTTGAACCTGGGAGACAGAGATTGCAGTGAGCCAGGATCATGCCACTGCACTCCAGCCTGGGCAACAAGAGCGAAACTCCGTCTCAAAAATAAATAAATACATAAATTAATGTAATTTAATTTAATTTAAAAATTAGCCAGCATGGTGGGTACACATCTGTAGTCCCAGTTACTGAGGAGGTAGAGGTGGGAGGACTGCTTCAGCCCGGGGGACAGAGGTGGAAGTGAGCTATGATGGCGCCACTACACTCCAGCCTGGGTGACAGAGCGAGACCTTGTCTCAAAAAATAAATAAAAATTAAAAATAAAAAAATTAAATAACCATAGTATGCTTGCTGAACCTAGTAGGTTAGAGAAAATAAATGTGGTCCCTGCTCCCAGAGAACTTGAGTCTTACTGAGGGATCTTTCCCACCCCTTCCAAACTCATAAATGTAAACATCAGAGAAAACAGGGAAGAGATTTTCTAAAACAAGAGTTAGGAACTTAAGGTAAATGCATTGGCTCTTTGGGGACAGAAAAATAATGACTGGCTGGAAAGCCTTTTGAGTTTAAGGTAAAGCTATCCTACACATCAAAGTCCATATGACAAGCATCAGAAGCCATGGAAAGGTATAATCCATAACTAGGAGTCAAGAGGTTCAGCTCAGGTTCTAACAGGCTGTGTAACCTTGGGCAAGTCACTTCACTCCTCTAATCCCAAAATGGCTGTTCTGTAAAATGGGCATAATAAGACCCTACTGGCAAAGTTGTCTGTGATGATTAAACGAGTAACACAAAATCACTTTGAAAGGTTTTACGTGACACACCAACTTAACATTAAGAGGAAGCAACAATCATTCCTCTGAATGTAGCATAAATCCTGTGGTTCAACTTCCAAAGTCTAAACCTGACTCACCTTCTTAGCCTTGTCAAACCCCTCAACCAACCTGTGGTCACTGAGTGAGAGGAGACGAGTCATGTGTGAGGCTCCAGGGGTGGGGCAGTGACTAGTCAGTCAGTTGCTCCATGTCTCAGTGGCTTCATCTATAAAATGGGTGGTGTGTAATTCACTCAGGTATCCACAGATAATGCAGGTCTGAGGAACAGAGTGGAGATTTTACCAAAAGTGCAGAAAATATTTACATAAACCTCCCACCCCCCAAGGATAAATAACCAAGGTCATCAAATATCATCATTCCCTGGACATAAGTAGAAAGACCCTTAGAGATCATTTAATCTCTTGCTTTATAAAAGGGAGAACTGAAACCCTGACACATGAGTTATAGAAGTCTCGAGCTAGTCAGGGGCAGAGCTAGGACTAGGGCCCAGAGCCACAGATTCCAAGGTACAGTGACCTCTTTGCCAGATCACAGCATCACCCAAGGTTCCTATATGACATGTTATCAACCCCAAGACACATTACAATTTAACCAACGGCCAAACGTGGGCTACCGAAGGGAGAAACTGTAAGACTCTGGGGGAAGGAGGGAGGCTAACAGCTGGGGAAGTTGGGAAAGGGAAAGCTTCTCTGAGGAGGTGCATTAAGTCCCAGGAGTACATAACAGGAAATTAAGGAAATATTTCAGTAGGTAGACTTGGGAAGAAAGACCTGATGGATAAAATTTTCTCTAGGGAACAGAAATAAGTTAGATTTATAAGACCAGAAGGCTTTGGTTAAACATTCCTTGATTATATACAATTTAGTCCTTTTGTTGTAACCTGAGTTTCTAACACTTGGTAATATTTTTAATTCCCTTATCTATTGTCTCCCTATGAGACAGGACCTTCTGCAGAGACCACATCCAGTTTAGTGGTTAAGTATGGAGTCTCTGGACTCAGATTGCCTAAATTCAAATCCTTGCTTTACCACTTAATAGCTGTGTGACCTTGGATAAATTCCTTCACCAATCTGTACCTCTGTACCACCCATTTCAGGAGGTTTTGTGAGGATTAAATGTGCATAAGCGATCACAACTTACTAATGGGTTTTTAATCACTTTATAACGTGTCCTTTTTATATATAAAGAATAGAAATTACCCAAGTATACTGCATGTAGCAACAAGTATTGTTTTGCAAAAATTTTGTTATACATGTGTGCATAAATGTCTTAAGTCAAAATGTAAAATTTGTTTCTTACAGTGTTTTCTTTAAAAATGTGAGACACTGAAGACATAAAATAAGGCTTAGAACAATGCCTAGCATACCTAGTAAGCACCTAGTGCTATAACTGTCATCGTTGCTGTTATGTACCTACTAAATGTGTTTGTAGAGTTATATAAGCCTACATGAAACCACTTTGGAAAATATATCTGATAGTAACGCAAGTAAAAGGCAAAGCCTTTCTCTTTGCCTCTCATATCCGCACAATCAGAGCCCTGCTCAGGCACCCATTTGTTGCTTGGCCCACTAGCTACGTGTTGCACTCAACTGAAGGGTCCATAGACTGACCTAACACTCTGTCATGCTCTGTCAATCTCTGCAGAGAAACGGAGGCTTCGTGCCAGAGTGAATTTATTTTTACCTGGTTGGTGTGCTGGGGTGGGGGAAGCAAGAGTCAAGCCCATGGGGAGCTGAGGGAAGCAAGTGAGTCATACAGAAAACTGTTTGCTCCCCCAGAGCCAGGTAGACTCACATGTGCCACAGACAAGGCCAGACCGACAGATACCTGAGCCTCTGGGCGGGCTGAATCATTTCCCCCTCCCTATCCTCACCAGACACTGCATAAGACAGCATTTCAGCCCGCCTGCCTGTTACAGGTGTAGCTCTTATCAGGAAAAGATGGGAGCCGCCAAACAGACACAAAAGGGGGCTGACTACACAACAAAGGTTACCTCAAGGGCTCATTTAAATGACAAGCTCACCTAAACGTTTAAAATAGCATTTAAATTCCAAAACCCTGATTTACAGAAAAATCTGGAAAATGTGCTCACCAGTAAGGAAATCTGGAGGTCCATCCCCGACATTGTGTGACCTTGAATTAGGCACTTCATCTTTATGTTTAAGTGTCTTCCTCTGTTTAAAAAAGAGAGAAAGAGATAAGAACACCTACCTCAGAGGATCATGGTAAAAATTAAAGATAGAATACGGTGAAATGCCTTGCATCGGATGTGCTGGCACTGGCCAATGCACAATAAACGCCTGTCCCTTCTAAACTAAGAGTGAACACTGAATTGTGGTAAACTATTAGTAAGATTCACCGGCCAACCGGCCTATGAAAAAGTCAGAGGCATTCTGGTCTCTTCGTATTTCTCGTTCTCTCCAGCACAACGGCCCATGCTAGGAAGTCTAGAAAAGCAGTAATTTATCTCATTCTATTAAATTAAGCAGAGGTTTCTAAATGCTTTGGTACTGTGGGGACCCAAATTATCCCTTGATACTGCCCCCTATTATTCATCGTTAAGCTTTAAAAAGGCGAGAGGTTAAATTTTGTGCCTACATTTTAGTTATTCGCGTTCCCGTTTCAAATTAGAGGGAGGGAAACGCGTTAAAATTAGGCTTCCGAGCTTCAGACCAGCCTGTGGGGTTTTCTAGGTCATAAAACTCGCGGAGCGGGAAAGGCCCCGGGGAGGAAGGGGGGTACATTCCAGAGCTTTCGGGCCGACCCCAATTTCTCGTTGGCGACGAATGCTAGCCACGTGTCGCCATTTTGTGTTCAGGCAACATGGCGGCCGCCCCTCGGGGAAGGAACGGGGGAGGCGGAGTAGCGCCACGTTAGCCGCTTTCCCTGAGGGATTCTGAAGCACGTTGTGCACGGGGCCCTTGCTGGTCTGGCTTAGCCCGAGGAGGAAGGGGAAAGGGCAGAAATCACAACTCGTATGCCAGCGTCTTAAACGACACTTCCTCAGCGGGAGGAACCTGCAAAAAAGGCCTTCCAAGATGGCGGGCCACGGGGCCGCCCCCGGAGAGTCGGGTGCGGTGGCTGCGCCCATGGGCCCGAAAGGCAGCCGCGGGAGCCCAGGCCGCGCGGGAAAAGCCGCAGAAACGTCCTGAAGCCCTGGCCGGCATCCCCTGAATAAACAAGGCCTCCATAGGCGCACACTGTTGTTTCTATGTCGGAAAAGGGTGCCGCGGTGGAAACGACACAAGGGCAGGAGGTGGGGTTTCCGTGGCTTTAACCGAAAGAAACTTGCGAAACGCAAACAAAGCATTATGTAAATGGACGCCATTCTTTCCAGGACCACGTTTCTAGCACGCCCCGCAAACAGCAGAGCCGCGATTCGAGAGGCGGTAGTGAGCGGGTTTCGGTCTTTCTGCCCACCGGCCGCCGCCGGGGGGCAGGGGCCGGGGTGGGGGTCGATGCGGCGCGCCCGGACGCCGGGGACGAAAAGGCCCCACGTGCCCGCCCGCGCGCACCCGCTCTGCAGGCCTCGCCTCGCCGCCCCTCCCCCGCCGGAAGACGGCGTCTGCCCCTCCCATCCCCCCACACCCTCGCGCACGCGCCCTGGTCACCTTGCGCGCACGTTTTAAACCCGCGGCGTCCCGGCTTGTGCCTGCAGTTTCCACCTGGGCTGCCCGTGTCGTTCCTCGCACGACCCCCCCCCATGTAGGGCAGGAAAATAATGTCTGTCCCCCATACACAACACTAGTATTTTCAGTCACCCGCCAGTGCCGTTAGAGTTAATAAAATACGTAATCATTTTAAAACTTTGCCGGACTCACAGTTTCCGCCCATAGTGCGCTTGATTTTCACTACTGCAGTGTCAGAAGGGTTTTTTTTTTAAGGACCATGTGAGGGTTGGCGCAATCTTGTGACCTAAAAAAGACGGGTCCTCATTTTTTTTCAAGGGGTCCTGCGCAGCAAGCACTTCCGGGGTCAGAGGGTACGCGGGGTTGAAAGCGGGCTTCCCGCCCCGCCCAGACCGCCGAGGCTGCCGCCGGAGTCGCCACCGCCGCGCCCTCGCCCACCCGCCCGCCCGCCGCTCCCGGCCCCGCTCGCCCCCTCCGCCGCCGCCGCCCGCCCCTGCGACTACGCTGCGGCCTCCCGCCCGCTCCCGCTCGCTCCCGCGGCCCTCGCTCGCCTCGCGCCGGCAGTTTTGGGCCTACACCTCCCCTCCCCCCGCCAGCCGCGAAAGACTTGACCACGTAACGAGCCCAACTCCCCCGAACGCCGCCCGCCGCTCGCCATGGATGCCGGTGTGACTGAAAGTGGACTAAATGTGACTCTCACCATTCGGCTTCTTATGCATGGAAAGGAAGTAGGAAGCATCATTGGGAAGAAAGGGGAGTCGGTTAAGAGGATCCGCGAGGAGAGTGGCGCGCGGATCAACATCTCGGAGGGGAATTGTCCGGAGAGAATCATCACTCTGACCGGCCCCACCAATGCCATCTTTAAGGCTTTCGCTATGATCATCGACAAGCTGGAGGAAGATATCAACAGCTCCATGACCAACAGCACCGCGGCCAGCAGGCCCCCGGTCACCCTGAGGCTGGTGGTGCCGGCCACCCAGTGCGGCTCCCTGATTGGGAAAGGCGGGTGTAAGATCAAAGAGATCCGCGAGAGTACGGGGGCGCAGGTCCAGGTGGCGGGGGATATGCTGCCCAACTCCACCGAGCGGGCCATCACCATCGCTGGCGTGCCGCAGTCTGTCACCGAGTGTGTCAAGCAGATCTGCCTGGTCATGCTGGAGACGCTCTCCCAGTCTCCGCAAGGGAGAGTCATGACCATTCCGTACCAGCCCATGCCGGCCAGCTCCCCAGTCATCTGCGCGGGCGGCCAAGATCGGTGCAGCGACGCTGCGGGCTACCCCCATGCCACCCATGACCTGGAGGGACCACCTCTAGATGCCTACTCGATTCAAGGACAACACACCATTTCTCCGCTCGATCTGGCCAAGCTGAACCAGGTGGCAAGACAACAGTCTCACTTTGCCATGATGCACGGCGGGACCGGATTCGCCGGAATTGACTCCAGCTCTCCAGAGGTGAAAGGCTATTGGGCAAGTTTGGATGCATCTACTCAAACCACCCATGAACTCACCATTCCAAATAACTTAATTGGCTGCATAATCGGGCGCCAAGGCGCCAACATTAATGAGATCCGCCAGATGTCCGGGGCCCAGATCAAAATTGCCAACCCAGTGGAAGGCTCCTCTGGTAGGCAGGTTACTATCACTGGCTCTGCTGCCAGTATTAGTCTGGCCCAGTATCTAATCAATGCCAGGCTTTCCTCTGAGAAGGGCATGGGGTGCAGCTAGAACAGTGTAGGTTCCCTCAATAACCCCTTTCTGCTGTTTTCCCATGATCCAACTGTGTAATTTCTGGTCAGTGATTCCAGGTTTTAAATAATTTGTAAGTGTTCAGTTTCTACACAACTTTATCATCCGCTAAGAATTTAAAAATCACATTCTCTGTTCAGCTGTTAATGCTGGGATCCATATTTAGTTTTATAAGCTTTTCCCTGTTTTTAGTTTTGTTTTGGGTTTTTTGGCTCATGAATTTTATTTCTGTTTGTCGATAAGAAATGTAAGAGTGGAATGTTAATAAATTTCAGTTTAGTTCTGTAATGTCAAGAATTTAAGAATTAAAAAAAAGAATTGGTTAAAAAATGCTTCATATTTGAAAAAGCTGGGAATTGCTGTCTTAAACTCTTTGTTGGTGCCTTTTTTTCCCTCCCCTTTTAGCCTGAGGTGTTTGGAGGGAGGAGGGAGAAGGGTGGGCCCGTCCTTGGTATTCTCTGAAGCTCTTCTCACCTTATCGGTAAGATTCCATTCCCTCTGTGCCCCAACAAAGGAACATAGCAGGCTGGGCCTGCTTCGGGATGTTTCCAGGGACAGAGGGGTTCAAGTTCCGGAGAGAGGCCTCATGCCCATTTCTCTGGTAGAAACAAGGTTTTCTCGAGGGGAAAAGGTGTGCCCACTCAGTAGGACCTCTGAATGGCAGAGCGTCCTCTCCATCTAACCAGTTCCCCCCACCCCCACCTCACAGGATAAACTTAGGAACAAAAAAATATTCTGGAGTGGGAGGAGCCTGGGGAAGGGGTGTGGGGGGAGGGAAAGGAAGGGAGGGCAGTGGGCGGTGGGGGGGATTTGGGGCTTGGAGGAGGGTAACAGCTGCCGGGTGGTGGTGGGACTAGAGGGGTCTTGGTTGGGCAGCAGGGATGGGAAGGGGGGAGGGGATAGTACCAACGAGACGCACGTGTCAAGCATGCACCTGTGGCAAGCAGCCTGTCAGAGGATGTTATTACACCTGCCAAGTGGTGTATCCAGAAACAAAAGAGGCCCAGTTTCCAATTCTTCAGCTGTGTGCAATGTTTAGAGAATCACTATACCAGGAAATAATCCTGCCTAAATGGGTCAGTCCTCACAAGGTGGGAATGTAGACCAATGCAGTGACTATAACCTAACAATGATCTGGGTGTTAAAGATGCAGATTCCTCTGTCCCACCCCAAAACTAATCAGCTGCATTTTTAACAAACACCCCGAAGGAGTCTTAAGATTTGAATGCCACTGATTGTCTTCAGTGGAGGAGAAAGATCCTGCTGTGAAGGCCGTAGCAGCCTCACGCCCACGTCAGCCAATGGGACTATCCCTGACCTGATGAGAAGGAAAACTGCTAGGCAAAGGCAACATTGGAAACAATAGTATGAGAAAATAGAGCCTGAGATGAGGGAAAGAAGAAACAATAGTATCAAACAATAGACCAGTAGGTGCCAAAGTGGGTAGTTCAAATCCCAGGCACTATGGGAGATCACTCATGGCAAAGAAGTTCCTGTGGGAAGGGAGTATTATCCACAGTAAATATTTGTTGAGGCTTATTATGTGGTCACGCAGGGTTAGGCAAGCAGTCACTGAAAGGAGCTCAAATTCTGGAGTTAGACTTGCTTTCAAATTTGAATTCTGCCTCTTATTCATGGCTTTGGGCAAAGTAATCTCTATAAATGAATATGTTAAAAGTAACACCTTCTGGGCTTGTGAAAATAAAATGAAAGCATGTATATAAAACAGAACAGTGCTTAGAACACAGTAAATTTCAGTGAACTCTGGATTAATAAAAAGCCAAAAGGCCCATTTCTGGAGGCTGAGGGTTGGCCACAAAATCTGGGCAGAGAAGACATGATTAAAAGGGAACAAAGCAATGTGTATTAAATGAGTTGGACTGAGAGGCTAAGACAGGTGGGGAGGGAGGGGGACCTAGTGAAGACACAGAAGTGGGTACCATGCTTCTGGGAACAATGAGCAGAAATCCAAATAAGGCAAGAGTGGGTGTAAGCTTGAACCCTCAGACACCAAGCCAAATAGTATGTGAAGAATCCCTGAAACGCTGGGTGAAGCAGTTGGAAAGCCCTGTGAAAAGCAGGTCTGAATACCAAAAATTAGGCCAGGTGCGGTGGCTCATGCCTATAATCCCAACACTTTGGGAGGCTGAGGTGGGCAGATCACTTGAGCTCAGGAGTTTAAGACCAACCTGGGCAACATGGTGAAACCTCATTTCCACAAAAAAAAAAAAAAAAAATAGAAAAATTAGACAAGTGTGGTGGTGTGCTCCTGCAGTCCCGGCTACTTGGGAGGCTGAAGTGGGAGGATCGCCCTGCACCTAGGAGACTGACGCTGCAGTGAGCTGTGATCATACCAGTGCACTCAGCCTGAGCGACAGAGCAAGACCCTGTCTCAGAAAAAAGAAAAGTAGGCCTCAAACTTTCCTGAAACTCCTCCCTACTGTATCTTATACTGGGCAAAGCTGGCAATAATTTGTAAAATAATGATTTAGGCAGCAAGGCATAGGACGAATTGCTACTTGGAGAGATGAAAGGCAAGAATAGCAGTTGGCAAACTACCTCAAGGAAGAAGCAGGTTCTAATATAGGCTGGCAAGTGGTACCAATAGGAATGCAAGGAAAGGAATTAGTCAATGGCAGAGAAACTGAAACTGGGTGTGGAGGCCAGAGGAAGATGTAAAGAGGGGGAGCAATGAATTCAGGCATGGTGATAGAAGTATATGCAGACAGAAATATTCAACAAGTAGCTAGAAATAGACAAGATTGAGGTGAAGTCAAAGCTGCATAGGAACAGAGGTAAATGAGGGGAAGGGACTGGAGATGGAGTTTTGGGGTATTTCGTTGGGTTGAAGGACCTAGTTTTCTTGTTCACTGTCTATCCTAGTACCTGTCACCATACCTGATACATAGCAGGGACTCAGTAAATATTTGTAAAGTGTATGTGGAAGAGGCAGCCAGTGAGGACAGAAGGAATAGTTGAAGCAGCAGGAAATAAATCAGGAGAGTGCCCTTGAGAGAAGTCGAGGAGGAACAGTCCAGGGCTGACGGAGTGATAATAATGCTGTAAGGAGGTTATTTAACAGATTTGATTGAGCATCTGCTGTGGGCAAAGTACTCTG